TTCCCAGCTACCACCACCAACACCATTATAAGTCTGGCCAGGACCTTTGGTGTCGGTGAAAGCTCGGCCGTACAGAGGCATACCTAGGACAATCTTGTAAGAGGCCACTCCGTGCGAGGTGTAATAGTTGATCGCTTGGTCGGTGTTGAATGGAGTGCTGGCTATGTTGCTGTTGGATGCGCGGAGGTTGGCATCATGGCCGGCAACGGTGTCCCAACTTCCGGTATAATCGTAGGCCATCAAGTTCCAGAAGTCAAGGTACTGATTCATCTGGGCGAGATGCTCTCGCTGGTAGTTGGCAGGGCCTAGAATTTGGGTTGGCACAACCAGAATGTTTGAAAGAAACGACACGTACCAGCAGGGGATGCAGTGGTCAGCAAGAAATGATAACCATCTGCGTTGGCAGAGCTGTACAAATCCAAGGCCTGAAAAATATAGTCTTAGCAGAGTCATCAATAAGAGAAGCTTGAAATACCTCACGAAGACGGCGTAGGGTATCAATAAATTGGTCAGCTTCGTTGTAATTGGCAGGGTACTATCTCATATCAGCATCAAACACTGTCAACGAATTAGCAAACTCACTTCAAAATCAACATCGATACCGTCAAAGCCCAAGTCCTTCAGCAGCTCGACGGAACTGTCAGCAAACTTCTGGCGCCCCCCTCGGTTTCAAAGGCCGTTCTGAGGTTGGTAGAATACGTCCAGCCTCCAATCGACAAAAGAACCTTAAGGTTTCGATTCCTTTTCTTGAGTAGGAAAAGCTCCTTAACACATCCATAGACATTATTCCCAGTATCAGCCCATGAATCAGTGGAGTAGTGCTTCTCGATGTCCGACCAGGTATCTGACAGGACCACCTCACCAGATGTTCGGGCATTGGCAAATGCGTAGAGAACATGGGTTAGTTTCTCGGCGGGAATATCCTGAGGCTGGAAGTTGCGAGCATAGATGCCCTGATGGTGATAAGTTAGTTTGATTTAGTGGTAGACTAAATCTGGTTCAAACTCATACCCAGTTCACAAAGTATGCCACGGAACGATATCCGTTAACATCACGAGTAGCAAAGTTAGTCGTATTGGCCTTAGTCAAATAGGGAATGTAGGTAGCGTTGGCCAGCCACGCCAGGCCCAACATGTAAGAAATGACGAAGTGCATCGTGAGAGAGTGGCAAGGTTGTACCTGATGATGTGGCCCGGCCCAGCAAGCTTTGAGAAGAGGGGACCATCGAGAAGGAAGGAAAAAGGCAGACAATTTGTAGTTGAAAACAATCCCATTGATTATCGTGACCCACAATAGGGCAACCAACCCCTCAATAAGATCTCAGACATGACCGTGCAGCGTAAATTACAAGAAAAGAACAAGATGATGTAACTGGTTCCGAGCGCGACTGTACTTGGCCTCTCGGCGGAGATAGCTGCGTCGAATGAAAGAAACAACGGAGTCTGGATACATGTAACTAGGATCTGTCATATACCTAGAGTAAGAGACAAGCAGATTCTAGAAGCTCATCTTGTCCCCCAGACGAGAGCTTTCCACCCCCTTCAACGTGATTTCGTGGCTTTACTGTAATAAGGGTTGCAGTGTTAGTCTGCAGATTTTGTATGCGGTGAAGAAAGTACTACACCACTTACGATCAAAAGGATAGAAAGGAACGGATAGCGGCATTGACACAGCGGTCGGTTACTTCGCTCGGAATGGTATCCTCGTAAGGAGTGTTGCAGTTGATATCTGTGCTCAACGTAATATTGTTGCCGCTGTCGGTAGAGACCATTACCGATTCCGTGCCGGCTTGTAGAGTCTGGCATCCAGCTTCGAAGCCTCCAACCTCTTTTCCTGGCCCTGAACAATCGCTTGCGGTGTAGTAGGTAACTGACCACAGAGCAGAAGCTGATGTGGCTATTCCAAGGATGAGAGGTAAGTTAAGGCGCATACTTTCAGCGTTTCGTTGTAATGTGGACGTGGTATAGATAGGGAGCAAGCTGGGGCCAGAATACTGCCTGTAGGGAGCTCTTTTTATATCTCCCTCCAGGTCAAAAGTGCACCTTTGCAGACGATACATGTATGGTCGAGTCCACTGTGCCAGTTTGACTGATTCAAAGAAGGCATCGTTGAACTCCCTTTACTAGGCAACTACTCCCGCAAGTCACCGCACGCAATATCCTGCTTCTTTGATAACCCCCGTTCATTCTCTTTAGTACATTCGGCAGAAAAAGGAGTAACCGATTGGGCTTTTCTGGTCCCCCGAAGGGGGTTTCACTTAATTCATCAAAAACATGGTCTTTCTTCGCTGCAGAGAGAACGGAACTCATCTACCTCACCCGGAAACAGCGCGAAGATGACCAGGTCTGGTCATCAGAAACGGGAAAACGGTCGAACCGTCCAGCACCGCCAAACTTCGAGGTATGATATTCGACCAGGAGTTGCGATGTACGATATGTGCAGTAAATTCTTATCTTGTGGTACTGTTTTTCTTTCCCCTCTTGTTGTTGGTCGATGCACCTATAACGAGCCCCGAGCCGCTTGCCGCTCTCCTCCTCGGACGGTCAGCGGATATCCGCAACAATGGGCGGAAGCTGATTAGTCCTCTTTTTTGATTTCATCTCATGGTCATGTTCATTCACACTTTGTTCTTACACTAACTCCGAAAAATGACTATTTGTTCCACCATTTTCTTGGGCAAATTGGAGGTGCAAAGATTCTTCAACCGCGCATGGAATTTTATTATAACCAGTCAAATTACTGCACGTACCAGAAGATGCCTGTGGTTTGTCATGTTTCTGGATACCGGCGACAATAAAAATCCATTAATTGCGAATTCTCTGGTGATAGTAATTTCAAGTGAGTCTGCTCAAGGCTAGCTTATAAGTGACAGTCCTCCACCGTAAACAACTTCAGCGGGGCGTGCAGCAAATATTTCAAGTTGCTAACTAAGCCTGGAGAGTTTGAACCTACTGCCACTCTAGATGCACTCGAGTTGCGATATTTCATCCGGCCGCATGTTTCTTACCCCGAGAAGCTTTCGACGATGTAGAGACAGTTGCAACGACGCACATTTCGGTCAAACGTAACACACGCTGCCAACCACTCTGGAAACCACAAACCACAGTAGTAATTGCGGTCAAAGAAGTCCTTTTGTTGGCAACCACGAGTAGTAATTCCCTGAATGACAACGATACCACTGAAGCGGATCAAGCCAACCGTCAAGTGTATTCAACCCAATACCAGATCAGTTCTACATCCATCGTGTCGACGGCAACACTGCAACTCTCCTTACGATTTGTCTCGGCACGTCATACGTCTTATCTGTAGTACGGTCTTGTCTGTTTTGTTGGGTTGGGTTAACCTGCTATTGACTTTTGGAATTGGGCTCTTTTGGATGGGTTGGAATTGTCTCAACAAAGAATACATTCCACTGGTGGAAAGAATGGCATGAATCGTTCCGTTTAAAGATTTCTTCGCAATCATAGATTGGCGGGGCCCATTACCGAGCTCTGTCCATGAAGTACAGAAATCGTCACAGTAACATCCTTCCTAAAGTCAGAAAACACATGTTGAAATCACAACCTTCCTCAGGCTTAGTATGGCAACTTGGAGCTGTGAAGCAAATGAGTGGCTGAGGTATTGTTCTGGTCATGGGACGTACCGTCGTGAATTGGACCCACAGGCATGGTCTTATACACACCAGAATTGTGGTACCTAGTGAATAAAGGGAAAATACAGTTGACCCAATTGATGCCACCCAGAGAGCTTTCTGATGCTTGGGAGCCGTGGGACCTGGATGTTGCCAACCTGAATTGAACGTAGTGGTTGCTAGAGACATAGGCTTCATGCATATATACCAAAATCGAATGAATTGAGCATGAAGAAAGCCTTGACTGGCTAGAACCATAAACGTGAATAACGCAAGCAAAATATTGCGATATTGCTGAAATGATCTGTTAACGAGAGACGTCTCAGGTAGCGACCAATTCAAACTTGCCAATTGATAAATTGTCAAAGACAGAACGACCATTGCACTGACGAAAAATAAGCCGGCAATCATGTGAGTCAAATGTGACTGCAAAGTTGAAATATACAGATACTATATAGAATATCAGTGTCGCCCTCGCTCTTACTTACTGCACTTACTTCGTTTAAAACAAGTAAAAGTAAAACAAAGCCGATTTCCATAGGAAATATCGAACGCGACAGATCTGACATTAGGTTAGGATAATTATATATCGCTGTACAAATTGATCTGCATACCATTATTAGAAGCCGTCGTTTTGAATGCAAGTATCATAGATGCAATTGAGCCAAGAATAATAATGCCACCTATTATAATCTGGCTGTAAATGAGCCGATTTTTGCTCCGCTCTGTGTGGTTTAAAGCACTAGTGTATAGGAGCCAGAATGCAAGACTTGAGCCGGAGCAAAGCGTTGCTGTTGTTGACGCGACCAGTTGGAATATGAGGCCAAGGTCCATTCTTTCTGTTTCAAGCTCACGAAGATCTTTGACTATAGTCCATGGCACCAGCCATCATTAAATAAATATAGATAGTGGCATAAAACGCTTGTTCTTATCTGTCTTCTACTTATTTTCCTCTTCTACAATGCATGAAATGTAGTTTGTCAGCGGTCATGAATATTGCATCTCCTAGGATCCCAGGCGGAACCCTTGTCAGCATCAACGTTTATCCGTCTTGTTACAGGGGTACGAGTGAGCCCCCTTGCCAGAATCACTTGATTGGACAAACCGGTGCTGCCAAGAATCCATGACAACTACCATATGCAGCTCCGAAACCTTTCTTGTTTAGGCCCAGTGTGCTAGGGCTCCAATGTAGGGGGCCCAAGCGCGAGTGGTAAATTCTGGAAACAAAGCGGGGCTTTTCACATCTGACTTGAGATCGGTTCTTGAAAATGGTTTTTCCGAGACAAGGAGGGGCTTCGTTCAAACTCAGGAAGATTCGAGCAACTGAGCATTCATTCTATACTGATATACGTCGCATTATTCTCCTTTGATGGCGTCAACACCATTCTCGCTCGAACATGCGAGCGACGCGATTCGGGACCTCGGTTTCTACTCTGAAATGGACCAGGACTTGCGGACTCCTATGTTAGAAATGGGACCAAAGAGCTGCTTGTCAGCAGAAGGTTTGGAGTTTTGCAAAATCCATGTTATCGGAGACAAGGTCTATTGCCAGTGGATCTTAACCTCTAGATATTGGCTAATCCTTTGTAGCGCGCTCGATCCATCCTTGAGTCCTTTTTTCCTTCGTGCGGTCTTGCCCGATACCGGAAATTCCACAGTGATCCAGGACACATCTTTCAGTTCAGAAGTGGAGGTGAGAAGGCGGGCCGGCATGTTCTGGTCGTGAAATTGTGGGGTAGTGGGTCAGAAGTGGTTTTCTTTGATCGTTCACACAGACACAAACTACCCGGTGTTCATGCCTCTAATGGTCTATGGGAGGTACCTTTTGCTGCCTTGGAATCAGTGGGTTGTGGCGAAGGGTCAGAAATCCTCTTTGAGCACGGCGGCCTGTAAGTCAAACTTGCCTGCTGACATTTTCGCTCCTCTGACTGTTCAGGTAGAACAATCCAGGACGCCCGGCTAGCCTTTGAAATCAGGAAAGGCACTCCGATTGCGACCGTGTTTGCGACACCCGACGTCATTATGAAATGGGCGAAAGTTGTTCTCCCAAACACACCGCAAATAGCAGAAAAGGCCGCCGAACTGCAAGAAGAAAGCGCAAAAATTGGATTCCACTTTGAGTATGATACAAAAAGGACGGCCGAACCTCCATCCGTCATCCCGGGAAATTGAGCGACGGCCTATGTCTAGTCTAGGGTAGGTCATATCGTACCTACCTATTTACCATCCCACGCAAAGCGAAATTCAGTCCCAAGAATCGGATCGGTGATATCAGCGCAGAAACCGACAGGGTCTCCGCCACCCAAATGTGCCCTGTGGCCCAGCGACGAGGAGGCTTCAAAAAACGGAGGGTCGAAGTTATCAATAGGCGGCGGGGGATAATCGTGGAACAAAAGAGGTGCGAACATGTCCACAGCATCAAATGCTGGCTGTAACTCGAAGCATTCGGAGGTAAATGGTTTGTCTTGTAGCTCAACTGTCTCCCCATGTCAATGAGAGCCTATTTTTCAACAAGAATAGTAAAGGCAAATTCATACCATGTGGTACTTTTTCAGAAGTTGTATCAGGCAAGGCTTCCCCATTCTCACACCGTGCTCTGCCTCTTCTAAGAGGGTAGAGGTTTTGGTCGAGATCTGTCTCCCCAAGCGTCCTTTTCAGAGTTTTCAAATCGGGATCGTTCGACGAAGGGTCTAGCGTTTCAATCATTCGGTCCAATTTCATAATAGCTGTGTCACGCAGGTCGTCACACATTCCCAACATATATCCTCGTTTCCTATCAGACGAATAGGTGTGGGTTTTGGCGTGCTTAATCAATGCGCTCACGTGTGTAAAACGCCGAAAACACTCAACACATACTTCGTTGCAATCGACATCTGGTTCCAAATCCGCGGTTAGCTATTGATGCTTTCGCTCAAGGAGAGGCAAGCATTACGCAGTTCAAAGTGCTTCAAAAGATCCTTTCTCGTTTTGAAATGCTTCCCACATCCGTCGTATGGGCATTTTCTAACGCGGCGAGTCAATGATCTCAAAGGTGCGGTAGTTTCGCTAATGCATTCATTTCCATTGTCCTTTTCGCCATCGCTCTCATGACTGACATTACTCGAAGCCACAGTTAGTGTCGCGTTTACTTGACAGCTCTCACAAAGCTTATTTGGGTCGTAAATCGGAGCTGCGTGCGCTCGACACTTTTCTATCTCCAGGGCTAAGGTTCGTTCTCCAAACTAAGCAAGTGGTCAGGAACAGAAACAAGATTCAAAATGGCTGCAGGGAGCTAACTCTGTACACTTCGAGATGAGAACATAGTGCGTCATTTGTTGGGAATACTGCCAAGCATGTCTGACACTGTCGTTGTATACTGAAGTCGCCAGCCATTTCCGCTGAAAGTTCGCCAAAATAAACTGCGGAGAGAGAGCAACTTAAGAGCGCAGTTGTTGGCCCCTCAATGCCTCTAGCCAATCAGAGCTACCCCAAAATTGGCCCCACCCTGGCGGCAAACCACGGTAGAATATCGGGCCATCACGGCTCATAAGAAGATGACATACCCCATCCAGCAAGTTCGGGCAGAACATCTTTCGCCAGGCCATCGCGGGGCCCCCTTCTCTCCCACCCAGCACTCGCTCTACCTCATTTCAATATGCCTCAAGATGCTTCTTGCTCTGACTGCAACGGATCTGGATTAAAAGACGGGTTCATCTGTGGCAGTTGTGGAGGGAAAGGAAAATGAAATGCGAAATGTAAGTGACGTGTCCTCTTTCTTTCGCCTCCTACTCGCCTCTCCCTTTCCTGATCTTTTTTAATGTTTGATGAATACTTGTTTGCCTCTAACACGACCAGACAGGACTATCAACTGCGGTTTCATCTCGGTTAGATCAACGCTCTCATAACTTCTTGCCAACACTTCGAAAACCTTCGGCACAAAACTAAGACGGTTCTTAATTTCTGAAGTTGTGAGAACGCATCTGCGAGGAACGAACCCTATTTGATCGTCGGGCAGGGACAAGTTGTCCAGTTTACTTTTCGGATGCAGTCCAAGGCATCATGTTTTTCGTTGGGAAATCTATGCTGGTGCGAGTTTTGAACGGTTATCGGGATAGTTTGCCAGCGTCTTATCACGCGTCAAGTATTTTGACACGCCCTGATGCAACATCATGGTGTGTACTGATACAGTAGGCGGTCTAACTGGCGGTTAGAGCCCGAAGTACCGGAGGTCAAATAAATAAGTTTGCAACAGCACTGTATCTCGGGCCGGGCCACACCTCTCAACGATCCGAAAACCTATTGTTAGATAACCAACTTACCCCTCACAGGTGGATCCTACGTAGGACCTTCTCGCTTCAAGGATTCTCGTTCAGGATCCTGGGAGATTCGGCCTAAAAAGGAAAGGTTCGATCACAGCCATTGGCTATCGGCTGAAGCATCTTGTCCGATGCTGCGATTCTGACAAGGGGCCCCAGCTGGACCCCCGTACTCTTCGTGCACACAGACAGGAACAGTTCTGTCAAAATTGACTGATGCGAACGAATCAAATGAATGTTTGCTCTCAGTTCTCGTATCCTTGTCCACAACGAGACGGTCAGAAAAGAACCAGGCAGCGAATATATAAATATGAGCAGGTACAACCTCATTGTCATCTTTCAACTTTGATCCATCTTTCAATTCTTTGATACACAATGAGCGGAATTAGTGGAGGTAGTTCTTCCCCCTTGCAGATGTCTCTTTTAGACATCTTCTTCCCTGGTTTCAGTATGGCCTCTGCCTCCGCACGGCAGCTGCTTGCTGGTAATCTGGACAGCTATACTCGACTTCTTTGTACCTTAGGAATGTTTGTCCTCTTCACTCGCTATGCAGTCCGCTACGTTGGAGAGCTAGTGAGAAGCTACTTCAGTTCGTAATTCTTCCCTTGTGATAGGATGAGTCTGACCGCCCGCAGCTTCGACAATACATGTCTCATATTATGACGAAGCGTACGACATGCTAGTCGACTGGATAGCTCACCAACCGTTTGTGCGCAACGCTCACTCAATAATCGCTCGTGTTAGATCTCCACAGCGAACAATCATCCAAAACCAAGCAAAGAAAAAGCCTTTGACCTTTTCGCCTTGGGATGGATCTTTCCCTTTCTGGTATAAGGGACACTTGCTCATACTTCACTGTGCCGTCAAAGACCATCGAGAAGATATCCACATCACCTCCATTGGCCTTTATCCAAACATTCTCAAAGAGCTCGTTGAAGAATGCCGAGGAAATTATCTTAATAACATTAGCAAAAAGATCACTGTCTTTGAGCACCGCGAAGGGGACTGGAAGAAAACCAGATTAAGACCAATTCGGCCAGTCTCTACAGTCATCATGGACAAGCAAGTACAGGATGACCTTTTGGGGGATGTGAAGGACTTTCTGGATGAAGATACTCAAAAGTGGTACGCCGACCGCGGAATTCCTTACCAGCGTGGCTACCTTTTATATGGGCCTCCTGGAACCGGAAAATCAAGCTTCAGTCTCTCATTAGCTGGGGAATTTGAACTGGATATTTATACGCTTCAATTGTCCAGTATTTCGGACAGCAAGCTGATGAAGTTATTTGCTGAGCTTCCACCGCACTGTATCGTTCTCCTAGAGGACGTCGACGCCGCTGGGATGGGGCGTAGGGACGATGCGGCCGCAGACCAAGAGAGCAATTCAGGCTCTGGAGTCACTTTATCGGGTCTTCTTAATGTCCTCGATGGTGTCTCATCTCAGGAAGGCCGGGTCCTCATTATGACAACCAACCACATCGAACATCTGGATGAAGCGCTCATTCGGCCCGGCCGCACAGACAAAAAGGTGCATTTTAATCTTGCGGATAGGAAAATTTCGGCTCAGCTTTTTCACACAGTCTTCAAGCAGGCGCCAGACCACAATCAATCTAAGAAACGACTGGGCGACGGCACGATTGAGAGGCTTGCTAAGGATTTTGCTTCCAAGGTGCCAGATGAGGTTTTCAGTCCAGCCGAAGTTTTGTCGTTCCTATTGGAGCAGAAGACCTCGCCTTTTGGCGCTGTTGCTGGTGTTGAAACCTGGGTAGCAAAGGCAAATGAAGCAGCAAGCCAACTGAAGAGAGATGGTTCTTGGGTACAAGAAGGACGTTAAGAGACTGGGGGCGAGCGCAACGGAGAGGCGAAGGTGCATTCTCCCAAGCATAACACCCCGACGACATTTGGTTTGTGGACAGGCCTGGCCATATCTGCCACGCCAATCGGGTGTTGGTTAAACGCTTGAGGCACTTCACTATTTTTGAGTTTATTTCCCGGCCCTTTAGTTACTTTGATACTTTGTCAGTCTTGGTTTTTGGCCCACTGCTCTTACGCCACCGCTGTTTTTGTTTGATATACTCTCACTCCTTAATTTTGAAGCATTTATCAACCAGCTTCCATGCACCCGAGCTCGACTGCATAATGTAGCGGAGTTCGGCCCTGATCATATCAAATTATAGTAGTGTCCTCCCTGGCCGACCAAGTAGACAAGATGCGCAAAGGATTTCAGCGCCAGTCCCACAACGGAACATTTAAGTGGCACGCCAAGATAGAGGAACACATTTCCCTCCCACCCATGCTCTACGGTGCAGACATCAACCAGGTCAACTAACGCAGTGGTCCATGAGTCTGTGGACCTTCATGTGCATACAGCAGTCGACCTGGATAGGAGGCTTTGCCTGTTTCCCCGTTCCCAATGCGATGACCACGCCGCGCGTTGCTGGATATTGGTTCTAGAGTTCGAGGACGCTTCAGCCATTTCACGTCCTCCAAGTCAATGACAAACAAACGGCCACCCAGGTCATCCCACAGCATATTGCGCCACTCACTATCGCCGTGGACAATTCCATACGACCGGAGCACGGTCAGAGCTTTGTCGCGCTCCTGGTGAAAGAATCTGGAATTCTCATCGTTAATGACATGCTGAAGCCGTGTTCCAGACCAGCTCAGTATCATCATCTGCGCCATTAATTGGCCATGGTACCAATATGAGACTCGTGGTGTGATTGTCCCCAGACAGACGGGGATCTGTTTTCCCTGCAGGCTCCTGAGATAACGGTAATTATCCGCCTCTGCCTGAATGAGATGCTGCTTGTCCGCCGTGGTAGCCTTGATTATCACAGTGTATCCGTGTGACAGAAGGGTAGCTTTAACGAGGTAACCTGTCCGACCACAGACGTGGAGTTGTTCAAACCCATGGTTTCGGTTTCGGGCAAGCTGACGGTGAAGCCGGCGTGTGAACTCCTGCGGACCCATGGAGTGTCTCTGTCCACCGTGGAGTTCCCAGTTGGGGCATTCTTTATCCAGAGGGTCTCGGTTGACCATGCCGCAGATGCAGGCAATTGTGCAGTAGGGTCGCGTAAATTGCACGTCTTTTCGAGAGGTCTGTTTGTTGTCCCGACCGGCTCGTGTGCTTTCGCTTTCCTTGGTCGATTGACGGTTGTTGCCTCGGCCGCGGCTCGACCTGCTGCGAGCCGCTGCTGCGATGGATGGCGAATGCGATTCTTCATCACTGCCGCTGCCTTCGGTTGACGAATGCTTCGGAGTAGACATGCCTGGTTTGCAGCGAGCACGGGATCGTGTATTGTGTGTCTTCGGCTCCAGTTTCCAGTGCGAGGGTCGATAATTGGAGGCTGGTGGGTCTTTACGGAGAGTCTCGGGGATTTTCCTCAACACGTCTAGGTATTCGACCTCCCAGGTCTTTAGCTTGTCGTGTGCCGCATCATGCCATTCTTGAGACGGAGCTTCGGCGGCTAGCGCTTGAAGGGTGAATGCAAGCACCTGACCGATGGCGGTCCGGTGGAGGCACAATTCATCATCCGCCTGCACGTCCTGATTCGGGATACACATGAAATATTGAACAACCGTGGGATCATCCTTCGGGATATGAAGAAAAACAAAAGCTTCCCCCGTGCAGATGTAGCCGTATTGAACCCCGCTGTCAATCATATATGAGAATATCTGAGTGACCACAGCGGCGACGAGGCAGGTGGCATAAAACTCAAACGTGTCGCCTTCCTGGTCAATGACATCGCGAGCCAGGTCCATCTGGTGTAGACCCGCCACCAATTCGGGGATTGTCACCTTGTGCGGCGCTTTGAACTCCACTGCATACACTGGTTTTTGTCGCTCGTTGGCCACAATGTGCACGCAAAACTGGTCCGCGCGGCGATTGCGTCTTCGTGCCGTACCAGCACTCTTTTGTCTCTGCGGCGCTCCTCTCCCTCTTCCTCCGCCTTTCCCACGCCTTGTGTTCGCTGGCCGTTGGGGTGTCCGTGCGTCTTGAAGATTCATTTCCTCCAAGCTGTTCTCCAGCGAAGTTTCCGATGGGTTCGCGCGGTCATAGAAGGTGACTTGGCCCTGGATTCCAAATTCATTGCGAAGGGGTTCATCATCTCGCAAAGCCTTAATTACCTTTTCGACAAAGTTATCCACCGTGTCTCGCTCAAAATTCCGAAGGGACGCTTCCGAATAGATCGGCTTGTTCTGGGTATTCGTAACAACATAATCTATTTGGGTATCAGAAGGGAAGAGGGGGCGCGAGGTGAAGGCACCCGTGCGGTCGAATTTCCCCCAGATTTGCTCTTGGAGTTGAGGGAAGTCAAGCCAAGGGACTATGCGCTGGGGGTAAAGTCGGTTCACTGGGTCGGTCGCGTCACCCTGGGTCGTGAGGGTCGCATCCGTCTCAACTCGGATCGCTTGAGATAAAGAGTTGTGACAGCGATCGAGAAGGCGAAACAGTGTGTTGGGCTGCACTCGCAGCTCTGCCTCTTCTCGCGCCCTTTTTTCTTCTTCTTCACGACGCTCTGCCTGTTCTCGCGCCTTTTTCTCTTCTTCTTCACGACGCTCTGCCTCTTCTCGCGCCTTTCTTTCTTTTTCTCGCGCCTGTCTCTCCTCCTCAAGCTGACGTCGTAGCTCGGCGATGGTTTCTTCCATCGCTCATTGAAATCAGTATTCAGCAAATAATCGAACGATGCATATCGAAGTCAACATAGTAGGGGGTTCGCTGTCTGGCGCGGGGAAGTGGCCCGTCAGGGCGGATGCTCCAGATTTCTACCAACCAGCTTACTCACCCCCTTGGCCCGAGTCGATTCATGCCTCAGGCACCAAAGGCTCCAACTCGCTTTGGCCTTTTGATGTGCTGACGTTCAGAGTCCTTTGTTTTCTGGAATATACGTCGACTTAGCCCGGCCTCGTCAGTAGGTATATAAATGCAGTCCTACATCAAATTCCTGACCAAATAGAGTCACCGTGGCGAGGTCATTATCTCGATTACATCGCTCGCGAGACGCAAAAGTTTTTTCTGATGAAAGAAAGAATAGGCTGATCTCTCTCATTCTCCGTCTGTTCTGCGGAACACGCTTCTGTATGCTCTAAGTTCCGGGGATTAGACGTCACCTGCCAACGGGCCTCATGGAAAAGCAAAGAGATGTAAGAATATAAAATCAACGTGACCAGTAGAGTTTAACCTATAAACAAGGTGCTCTTGGGGTATGGTGTTTGGAATTAAAGTTGGGCTGAGCAGGACGACAAACCAAACACCGCCCTCGAGTCCAGGTCAATTATGTGATTAAGGTACGTAAAATGAACCAAATGTCGCAGATGATCTGTCATTTCAGGAGCAACTGTATTGTGAGCTTTTGGAATGTAGCAGGAAAATTGTCTTTGCCCGTCCTAGGCGCCCAGCATCCTTCATTTTGACCAGCGATACGCTTAGTGTCCAGCCATGTCCATGGGCTATAATTTGATTTTATGCATGCCAAAGCACATATCCCTCCCGATTATGAATGATAGGCTAAGAAACAGCTGTTTCTTAGCGCTGGCCTGCTCTATTTTTGTTTTAGCACTACTCGGATCACCTCAGCGCTTGTGATGTGACACTTCAGGGAAATGAGTTGATTGGCCATAGGGATGCAGGGGCCTCTAAACTCAGGTCTAGCGGCTGGAGGGATAAATGGACAGCTACACCATGGACAACGCACCTTTGAGCACAGATGTGGTATAATGCATAGGTTCCAGCACCCAATATCTTTGGATACATTCAATTACATATATCTACCACGCATTCTATCTTTGGAGGTCCCCGTCAGTGAAATTAACAGGTATGAAGTACGAGACATGCAATATCGGATGATACTGACCAAAAAGCACTTTTAGCCGTCTCCTTCGATAGCCCTTATCGCAATGACAGCAAGTTCTGGTCAAGCCGGCTCCTGCAGGAATGCAAAGTGTAACCACTGGAATGATGCACACAACAGGTACACATGCAAAGAAGCGGGTTGTCGGAAACAATGGAAAATTTGCCAAACGGGCGACCACGGAATTTCGGGAAAATGGGCAATTTGCTCGAAATGCGAGGCTCACCCCGCTGGTGGGCCTGACGGTTTTGAAGAGTGGATTGATCTGACGATCTAGACACTTCAGTTCACACGGCTAAGCCATTGACTGACAGACGATTGACAACCATCCTCTTGACCGCTATCTGAATTGATATCAACATCGTCGTCGTCGGAGCTTTCAATGTCGATCCAGGAATGCCGATATACAGGTTTTTCATTTGCTGGGTACCCTGTGGATCTAAGCCAACCGAAAATTCCGCGAGTTGCAGCCTCCGAAGCTACCTGGGAAAACAAATGTGAGCCATTTTGTGTCGGGTAGTAGTTTTCCTTATGTTTCTGTGTTAGGAATTCTCCACCAATTTCCATCAGAGATATGCCCGAGTCTTCGAGCGTTTCTCCATTTGCTAGATTCCAATTCCAGGTTTTGTACTTCAAACAGTGACAGCGGCAAGCAGCATGTTGCTGTACGGCAAGTTCAGCATCAAGTAGCCGAGTTTCTCCAAACGGTTTCCACGGATGAATGGGGGGTCTAGTATATCCATCACAGGCTGTGATAAATAGCAAACGACACTCGTCTTCCCTGCGGATCATTTGACCGTCATTGCTACCAGGTTCCACCGTTATGAAAGATTGGTGCGTTCCTGTCCAAGCCGCTGCATTGAATTCCGTAGCTGTAAGCCCGATCCGGATATTTCGTATTGTAGGGTTTGCTAGTCCCACCACAATCGCACCGAGCCAAAGGCTAGCTAATCTGGGCTGCCGATATCCAAGGACTTTGGCGAGCGTAAGAGGCTTCTCGCCCTGGACCAAAGGGTTTGTTACTGCAAAGATAGGATTGAGCCAGGCGCTGACAAGATTGCATTCAACCTCTCCGTTGAAGAAGGTACTGGAAAGTAAAGATCGCATGCCCCACACATTAGAACTCAGCATCATATAACGGGAAAGAAAGTCCGAGTATTCCTTCACTAGATTTGATGATTTTTGTGACAGAGACGACGGTCCATAGTGCAAGGCTAATTTCGGGACGGGAAGTGAAATGGAATCTCCGCTGAGCAATGGAATGTAAAGTGCAGCAACTAGGGCCACGGAACACTGTCCGTAGAGTCGGTGACGAGAGCAAAACCTGGCCAGATATTCCAAAGCAGCACCAGATGACGGCGGTCCTTCCTTGGAGATTGGATAACCTCCTGCTATCCCCATGTTGGCTTTATCTGAAAGAATAACAGACCAAGGTGAGCGATATTTTTTTTTTGGTAGTCTGTAGTTATTTCCCAGCCGCCGCCAGAGCGCAATATAGCCCCCCACCAAGCTGCTTCAGCAGCTTCAGCATCGTGTCCTATATCAATTTCGATTGTATCATGATGTATGGAACCTGTTGCAAGCTGGCTGGCCTTGTGCGTGAAGTCGCTTCTGCATTGGTGTCCCGAAGCGTGCTTCAGTGATTCTGCCCATCGAGCAGAAAGGATATAAGCCCAGGCAAGGAACAAAATACTAATATAATTTCCCTCGTCATGATTTGAGATGCCATCAACACCAGGCCATTCTTGCAGGGGGGCAGAATTTGATATCTCCACTGTCAATGGGTTGGGAACAGCCAGCAGAATATCCAAAGACATTGTTTTCGGTTCGAGGCAACATTGCCCGTGTGAAGTAGCCCAGGTCGATTGTCCAGAAATTAGGAGACCAAACTGTCCCCTGCTCGATTCCCTTTCGACACAAGTAAAGGGCAGTTCAGTGTCTTTGGAAACCAATCCATATCCAAGGAAAGACGGTGTTCTCTCGAGAAGCGATTTCAGATCGATGGAAGAAGGTGGGAGATGACGGGTTTTATGAGCATTTGTCAGGTGGGACGACCATTCATCATAGCTTTCGGAAAGGATACGATCGAATTTTTCTTTGCTTGGACGAACGGCATCATCCATGTCAGACTCAGACTCTGTAGTTGAGTCCAAGGCACTGCTGCTATGAATCCAGCGGAGTGCTAGAGAGACCGGTTCGAATAAAAGGTATTTAGGGAGTTTGGTGCTTATGAACGCCAGACCATTAATAGGTAAAATGGCGCATGAAGCTAATGGTTTGGATGCATCCAAGGAACAAAGATAGCAACACTGGCAAGTTCTGAGGGAAGGGAGGTTGGAATTGTACTTAAATTGCCGAGATGGTAGTTGGTCGAACACCGTGGCTATGTGGGTCATCATTACTAATCATTGTTTGTTTTTCCGTTCCGAAATATCCTTGATGCACACAATCAGGAAAAACTACTCTATAGACTCATGACCGAACCCCATGGTAAAACAGGTTGACGGCTCTACGGTACCTGCCATGTAACTTGGTGTCCTATCCTAACACAAGCGTGCGGCTCTACGCTCGCAACGTTTGGGAAGCATTCGAGACCTTACCGCTCACTAGTTCTTATAGCCTCTCACCCAGCACTTCGAAGGCTTTCATGCTAGGCGAATCGTAGAACCTATTTTTACATTATTCTGACTAGGATGACCGGGAAACGAAGATCGAGCCATGGAAGACGAGCAAAGAGTAGGAATGGGATCATATTGAAACATATACTTCAGCGGCTAATAACCTATTATTCACCACAAAGCACCAGGACCCTTAAGCATTAACGTAGGTAACGCTACATAAAATGACGCAGCAGAAGAGGGAGTTCGCGAATGGATTAGAAACTTAGCATGCGATTTGCAGGGTTGGCCTTCCAGTCGTTTAAGCTCGCAAGAGCCTCTTCAGTGACCGCTTCAGTACTAAAAGGTCGCCAGGCCTTAAGCGCAACAGATTCTGTGGCGGAGGTTTCCCCCACTTTTGGACATCTTGTAGTGAGAAGTTTTCGGAAAACTTGCCTGTGATCAGCAAATGGACCACGGCCTCATCAAGGGCGGGATAAGGCCTTGCGGCAAGAGGGTTGCGATGCAGGGCGTACGCAATCATAGCATCCAGCGGGAAACGGGAATTGTTTCTACATACCTGTCAGTTGAGGGGAGATGGTACTGTACTGAAAGAATTCTCACATCTTTTTGCCTGCTTCTTTGCTGCACCGAATAAGAAAGCTGGGGCCGAAGTAGTACACACACCACCACCAATATTCACCGATTTTCTTTTCATTGTGGAAAGATTTGTGGAGTTTTTTTTTCTCGACTGGTGTCAGGCCTCTCGAGTTGCAAAGTGTGCTGACGACATTTTTTTTCAGAGCAGTCTCTGCTGTGCCCCGTTGACGTTCACACTCGATTTCTCTGACAAAAAACAGAAACAGAGAACATCGAGCAACACGTAGCTTTACATCATGCATGTCATTCTCATTGTGCAGTCGCATTAAATAGGTCATAAGACTGGCACGATTGGGCTTTTGAGCGGCATTCGAGGAGCTTGAGTCATTCCAGGAAGGGCCGCTCCAGAAACCAGAGACCTTCCAGTCGGCGAAGCAGATTCAGGAGCTTTCTGAACAACCGCTGCAGTACCCGTATCGCGCCGATGCCACTCATCCTCCAACGAGTTAGAAACAGGGTAGGAAAGAAGACTCTGCACGAGATGCAACTGAAGGGGGTGCATGGTGTCTTCCAAGGGTGAGTCTTCGCTCTCTTCCTTGACTGTGGTACCCGACAGCTGCGCCTCGATATCCAAGAAGGCTTGCTCTTCATCAAATTTCTCTCGGATCTCATGTCGTAAGCTCCGGTGCAACCTTTTTCGCGTATTTCTCACCTCCTTCTCCCGTTGCTGGAGTCTAGGAAGCAGGCCGGGTTCCTGGGTCTCCTCGTACTGCGCGCGGATATTGTCTAGGTTGCGCCGTGCCTCTTCCAACTCAGAATGTTCTTCAACCTGTGCCCTTTGTTGATCGGTCAAGTAGCGTGGGCGTCGCGTGTCTCGCCAACTGCTTTGCCGTGTAACAGCTCGCATCAGTTCCACATCCGGGTCAAGGCCACAGATCACCCGGATCATGTCAGTGTCGATTTGCAGGGGATGATAGTGGTTGAGAAAGGTGCAGGGGCTGGCATGCTTCATGATCAACATATGTTGCTCCTTGCTCACCCACCCTGCGGAGTACATCAGCCACCAACTTGACAAGACAGATCAAATTCACAATATCCATGGAAGAACTCACCACTCTCGTTGATCACTTTACCACTTCCATACCGGAACTGATGGGCGTGAAATGCCCCTTTCCATCCGCGAATCTCGCCAAATGTGACTAGCAGGGTGGAAATCGCAGACTTGGGCATCTGTATAGTCCGTTGAATGGTTGGAACGCCCTTGACCAACTCTGTTTTGCAAAAGATATACATGTGAAACTATATTTGCGTGATGCATTCCCTGAAAAACCGAGTAAACAGCACAGTTGTTATGTGATTGCTCAAGCGTTTTTACATACTAGGTAGCCTTTTCCTGCTATTTTTGCGTATCTAAATGTCAGGTAAATAGATGAGACTTGCTTTGCAAAGCCCAAAGGTTAGTGTGCCATAAAATTCGTACGACGCTCAATGACTGTAAAAGTGGGGTCTGTTTACGCTTCCTGTAAGATCAATCAAGGCTGTTTGTTTCGGCTGATATGGTTAATCTTCAACATTTAGTATAGACTTCTTGGTGCAGATACTATTTGCAGGCCGTAGAATATAGTGAGTTCACTTTTACAACTAGTTTGCAGATGCAGACAGAAGTTTCTGTCACTATGGCCTGTGTTATATGTACATTCATACGGTGGCAGTAAGGTAAGAAATAAAACAAGTGAAAGAGGAAAAAGAGGAAAGAGAACGTAAATCGATGCATACACATAGTGACCGGGCAACCAGGGAAGAAGAAATAATGACTGAGAGCTGAAAACTAGCATCATCCAAACCATGCATGCAATATCTAATTAAATGGAGGCTCTACTACCGAAGTAGAGGATGTTAGGCCATGTGTGATAGTCGGGAAGTATAAGGGCTAGACAGCACATGCGACTATCTATGAAGAGGCTCATCCGCACATTGGTGATACATTTGCTGCCCCCATGATGGGAGGGGAGGGCCCTGGTACCGCTCGGCACCGCGTCCCTGCAATTCATGAAGGGGATAGTGAGGAAGACTCGTAGGGCTGCTCTGGAAGGATGATGAGACTGATATTGGAACAACTGCTTCGGACTACATGTCAGGACTGCGGGGGCCACGAGTATAGATTATGAACGAACCGCCTGTGTGAGCCCTCCCTGATACACCGCTCGTTTGAGAAATCCTAGATTGTGAATCTGGCGTGCAGAGATGGGATGGTCGACGGTTTGAAACTTGGACGTTGAACGGGCTATTTTGGATTAATATATTTCTGTGCTGGAGGATGTGTGTTGGTGGGATGTTGATATCTCGCACTTGAGGCTGCGACGTGTTCTGCAAGTTTGGGTGCATTTCCTGTTCTGGAATGTCGGCGTTCGAAGTACCATTAGAGACTGACTGCTGGTTTTGAGCTCCTTCGGGTGTTCCGGTAGACAGTCTTGAGTAATGCGAACCTGCCTGTGTGTACTCAGAGATAGGCTGGTTAAGGCGTCCTCTTCCACCTGCAAGTGCGAATGAAAACTGTCAGTGTGGGAAACATAGACAGAAAAGGAAAAAATGGGAAGAAAAGATCTGATGACACAGATGTGGTACGCTTCAAAGTGCCAAGTGACTATGCCGGACACTGCATTAGAAGAGAGCTTACTGTGGGACCCTTTTTCCTGTGACATATTTTGGTCATCTCCTCTCCGCTCGACAGACTTTACTTTTGATACTCGTCGGCTTCCTTGCCCATCAGGTAGAGTGTCTTGCTCGTTGGACTCCATCTGAACAAGCGGGGTAATTTCGCTTATATTTGGATCGGTGGGTTGGAAGTTACCGCCATTGATTGCTGTGAACCTGGCCAGAGGGTTTGGCGTGATGTCAACTCGATGGCAACGATTTCCCAACGCGGGGGTATCTTGGACATTCTCAGGAGAACTTGAAAGCAACATCTGTCCAGAAGCTGGTTCGGAGGCAACAACAGCCAGTGGAATTTGAGCCACTGCTTCCTCATCCTCATTCAATAGTAAAGGACTGCTTTGAGAAAGTCTTTCTGTGTTGTCTTGAACCTGCGGCTGGTGATGAAGCTGTGGCGATCGAGGTCGCTCTAACAGCGGATGCTTGGATGTAGTGCTATCATTGCTCAGTACTGTTATTGTATGGGATGGGTCCAAGCTCGGAGTGTCAATGATGGCGTTGGGTGATCGTGATACCGGCATAGTATCGAGAACGGCAGGGGCAACCGGAGCTAGTTGATGTGTTACATCCTTTTGGCGAGAATCTGCCTTTCGCTTTTTGCGGCAAGCTGCACGGATGGCAGAGGAAGTTCGGTAGTGTCCAAAGTCTCTCACAAACTCAACTTCAAGTCTTTCCTTTCGTAGGCTTTTCCGTTTCATGAGCCACCCTGATAAACGTTCCAGGTCCTTAGCAATCCATGAGCGATGAGAACTCTCCGCCTGCGCTCGAGATTTTTCATGAAGATATCTTATGGTCAATTCCTCTTCACCCAAATTTCCAGAGGTATCGGTGGTTGACCCATCCCTTCCGCAGTTCTGAGAGTGGTGCTCAGTCGCTTTATCAGTGGAGCTTGGTTCCGGAACTTGGAAGAGCGTTAATGCCCTGGGAACAGTCAATGCACCGAGTCCGCTCTCTGGGTGGCTTTCATGATTGGAACCCTCGTTTGCTGAACCTCCAGCCAATGAAGTTCCACATGGTGAAAATTGCGGAGAAACTCTCCCAGATGGTTGACTGTTATGCGCCGTGTCTATTTGTTCCACGTGCATTGCACTGGACTCAGTACCATGGATAAGCGTTTGGCCCAGCTCTTCAAGTGTGGTATCGCCGTCAGAGTGATGCCGAATAGGAGATTGGATAGGTTCTGATGTCCGAGGGGATCCTAAGGGAGAGACTCGCGGAAAGTAGGAATCAACAGTCCCTGATGTCCGAGGGGATCCTAAGGGAGAGACTTGCGGAAAGTAGGAATCAACCGTCCCTGATGTCCGAGGGGATCCTAAGGGAGAGTCTCGCGGAAAGTAGGAATCAACCGTCCCTGATGTTGTGGCGAGGACATTGATTGAATTATCATTCCTTGGCTGACTCTCGGACACCACATCTGAGAACACCGGATGGGTTTTAGGCGGTTCTCCAGCCTGAGGGCTTCCTTGAACTCGCCATTCATTTTGACTTGTACCTGACGGAACTTCATGCCCTTGAGATGAGTACCGGCAGCTTGACGTTTGATTTGCAGCATCCTCTTCAGGTACCGCATGGGGGCCGCTGGATTCTGATTCAGGGTCAACCGGTTGAACATCATAAAGAGCGTAAAGGCTTCCATCCTCGCAGTCGTCAGAATTCAGGTAGGGTAGCAAGTTTGGGGCTAGACGTAACGCGTGAACCTCGATGTTCGACCTCGAGATCAATTGTTGGGTCAAGTCCACTTCAAAGGGTTGAGAAAGCGGTGGGGAGGAGCGAGGTGTCAAAGACACAGGTTCTTTGCGCGAAGTCCTCTTACTGCGCTTCCGGAAAGGACTCTTCCCTGTTAAGAAATACACTCTTGCCTCAATAGCATGGAAAGTCCGTTTTTGCTTGAATGTTTGGTGAAAATTTTGGGCGATCTCTTCCTGTGACAGGTTCTTCCTTACTTGGTCTTCGAACCATATAGGAAGCCGCTTCAATACTTCTGGAGGCCAAGCCCTGTTTTTAGCGACTGATACATTCCAATGGTTAGTACATTTCTTCAATCTCTTCAATTTTAATGCCACGTTTCTCATGTGCATTACTTACAGTTCCGTGTTCCAGCACCCTGTATTGAACCACTGGCTTGCAAGGAAGTTCCTTGAGTCTCGATAGCATTCTCATCGAGTGAACTCGCTTCAACCTGCGTTGGCGTCAAGTGGGCTGGCTCTTCGGCAGATTCCAGGGGAAAGGGAGAGCCCGCCGATCTCTGGTTTGGCTCCGGGCGGTGGCGGAGATCTCGATGTCTTCTCAGTATCTCTTCAAGCACAGTGTTATTGACTTTGATCACTGCGGGTGATGTAAGCGAGTGAAAAGAATTAGGATAATGCTCGGGTTGGCTTACCTTCCGACGCTAGATGGTTCTCGAGTGATGTCATTTCGGCTGCCAGCGCCAAGGTGCTTAGTTCTGTCTGCACGTCCTTTTCATATGACCAAGGTTGGACAAGCTTCCGGGGTAATCCTGAAAGGATCATGTTGTGCTGGAAAGCAGACAACTGGACAATCACCCCCCGGTCCAGCATATGGAAATGGTAATTTCCATTCCCTTTATATTCGGCCTGATAATTCTTTTCCTTGACAACGTCCAACCAATTGATATTGGCACTGGCTTCGTCGTTCTGTGGCTGAAGCACACGCGGTTTTGGTGTCTCAAACATCCCTTCGATTGTCTTCACTAGGACGTCACTTATAAGGGGAACACTCAGAAATGCAGCAAAGCTCTCTCGCTCCGCCAGTGCCGTGAAATATGACCGCGAGTGCTGAAGTACCGAAGACAGCTTGTCTTGAAAAGGCTTGAAATGCTCATAATACACGCTTTTCATTTCTGGTAGACTGTTCAGCAAGCAGTCATTTTCTCTAACGTTATGGCCAGTGCCTTCAACAGTGGCAGCGTTGGAGTCCATCTCGAACGTTACTCGATTTGAAGAAAAATTAGCTAGAAACCGGTGGGTACGTAAGATAAGAATAAATACCGACGACCGCCGTTTATTCGAGGACAAACATGGGCAATGTGACACCGGTTTATGAAAAGGAGACTGCGAGGTTCAAGGTGCTAAGCAGAGGTCCCGACAGCGCTACTTATAAGTCTGTTCGTTGACATCACGTGTGTTGACCCCGAGATAGCTTTCCATTCGCCCGCTGGAATGTGTATGACCATCATATTGATTTGGATTTTTCTTTCCGCTCTGCGGATCGCGTTCAAGCTACAGTGACTGGTACTTCATATTCTTGTGTTCTAACATTGATGCTCTGGCCGGAGTAAAGTTTACTCTTTGTGGGAAGCACGAATCCGGATCTGACCCGTTTGAAGCGGAGTACAATACTCGTACTGCGTCCAAACCATTATCAACGTATAAATTTTAATGCAGGTGATTTTCTTCCGTGATCTTGCCTCCATCTCGGAGAGGGGCGTGGGAAATTTCTGATTGGGCGGGGAATCGAGACAATGGGTCCGCCCCCAACTACCCGTTGTGCTTTCGGTTCAAATCAAACCGGGATAAATACAGAGCATAGCCAATAGGAAACTACGTGACCGCTAAATGTGATAGTGAAAATCCGAATTTTCATGCGGCAGTGACGGCCGCATTTGGATACAGAAGTTGCAGATCATATCAGCGGCTGATTCCGTTATTTATTCCATGGTTCATGCGTGTGAGACAAGCCCGTGCGGTTGATCGCCAGAGCCGGATAATCCCACGGTCCTCTCCGGTTTGACTGCGTGCTTTGTTAACCCGTACAATTTGGTCGCGAATCCTTGAGAATGAAGAAGAACTGCATACCGCAGGTTTCCGCGGGATATGAATGAAAGCTTGTCGCAATGACAGCATTCCTACATGTACCGGGCAATGTCTCTTCTTTTTCTACGCTATGACCGGGTTAGTAATTTATCGCTAGTTCAGATCTTGACCGTTGTTCTTGACCACTCCACCCGACCGCTCTGTTTAACACTTTTGCTTAACCGCTCTGCTTAACCGCTCTGCTTAACCGCTCTGCTTAACCGCTCTGCTTAACCGCTCTGCTTAACCGTTCTGTTTAACCACTTAGTTGAACCACCTTGCTTAACCGCTCTGCTTAACCGCTGTGCTAACCACCCTTTTGCTAGAATCAAGATCGCAATCTACCTACCAATCTTTATCTATGCGTTGAGCTGACTTGGCATACACCACATCTCGTGGGGACATGTCCTTCTTAAGAGCTTCTTTCTCTATAAGTACAGTAACACTATTAAATTTAATATTAAGACAACCAAATGCCACATTGGCAAAGGCAATATTGGATAATCAAAGATTATTTCAGAACATTCGTTGAACTACACGCTATACGTCTAGGATATAAGAGATTCATTTTCTGGATACACAGAGTAAAGCCCAAGATGCGATGGCGTGCGCATATCAAGAGTGACGAGATAGTAAATAGATTTGTGCAAGTCTTAGCTTCCTCGATATCGTATGATCACCGAGTACTGGTCCCTAGCACCACGGAGAGGTGCTGCACGTCGTCAGGGGGAGCACAAGATACACCTCACGGGGCTCAGGGCAATGAGGGAGAGCACACATTTTACCTCACGTGGCAATGAGGGAGCACAACATTTACCTCACGGGGCTCAGGGCAATGAGGGAGCACAAGATACACCTCACGGGGCTCAGGGCAATGAGGGAGAGCACACATTTTACCTCATGTGGCAATGAGGGAGCACAACATTTACCTCACGGGGCTCAGGGCAATGAGGGAGCACAAGATACACCTCACGGGGCTCAGGGCAATGAGGGAGAGCACACATTTTACCTCACGTGGCAATGAGGGAGCACAACATTTACCTCACGGGGCTCAGGGCAATGAGGGAGCACAAGATACACCTCACGGGGCTCAGGGCAATGAGGGAGAGCACACATTTTACCTCATGTGGCAATGAGGGAGCACAACATTTACCTCACGGGGCTCAGGGCAATGAGGGAGCACAAGATACACCTCACGGGGCTCAGGGCAATGAGGGAGAGCACACATTTTACCTCATGTGGCAATGAGGGAGCACAACATTTACCTCACGGGGCTCAGGGCAATGAGGGAGCACAAAATACGCCTCACGGGGCTCAGGGCAATGAGGGAGAGCACACATTTTACCTCATGTGGCAATGAGGGAGCACAACATTTACCTCACGGGGCTCAGGGCAATGAGGGAGAGCACACATTTTACCTCATGTGGCAATGAGGGAGCACAACATTTACCTCACGGGGCTCAGGGCAATGAGGGAGCACAAGATACACCTCACGGGGCTCAGGGCAATGAGGGAGAGCACACATTTTACCTCATGTGGCAATGAGGGAGAGCACACATTTTACCTCATGTGGCAATGAGGGAGCACAACATTTACCTCACGGGGCTCAGGGCAATGAGGGAGCACAAAATACGCCTCACGGGGCTCAGGGCAATGAGGGAGAGCACACATTTTACCTCATGTGGCAATGAGGGAGCACAACATTTACCTCACGGGGCTCATGGCAATGAGGGAGGGCAGGAAGCCTGCTCCTACTCTCCGATCATGGGTGCATATCGCTCTTTTATCTATTCCCACTACGGCACTTGACAAATACCATTAACGCAACACCCAGCCTCGCGGGAATGCCATACCCGCACCTCAGATGATGAGGTACTCAGTGTATGAGGTAAATTAGATCGGTTGCGGCATACTTTGTCGTTCGCACATACATTGTACTGGGTGGTCTTCACAGTGTGGTCAGCTAACTTCGTGATGGGCGGATCCTGAGACCGCAGGACAACCATTGATTCAGATTTGGGGCGGGGCCGTGCGAATCAAATGCGGTTCACGAAACCGGCCGTTTGACCGCCATCATATTTCAACATCTTCGATAATCTAAGAAGTCATAGTCAAATGGCTATCTCGAAGTGAACTTGCTATGTACGGCAATTTTGCAAGTTGTGTTGAATTACCTCGCAATGGCGTGTTACCCCGATTCCTGTTAATTCGCCCTTTACCCAAGCTACCCTATGGCAACTAAAATAACGAACGGCCAGCATGAGAATCGAAAATCATCCAGCTCTGCCTTTTTTATTATTATTGTTATTATTATTTCTGCTATCTCTTTTTGCCGCGCCGGATGCCTAGAATGCCTGCAGTAACGTGATCCACCACAAGCATGAAATCGCGCATCCTTCCACCCACGTTCCCCCTTTCGCCAACCTCCTGCTCTCTTTTCTGAACTATCCTGGACGCTCTTCCAATTTTGTCTCATTCTTTCAATGTCGTCCACGCAAATCCTGCGGTCAGGGAGGCAACCAGGTGGTTACGAAGCACGATTCTCAAGCTTGCTGTGTCGAGAGGAACAGCAAAAACCAACAAGTATGACGTCTCGTCTTATGCAAGAGCAGCGCCGACTCAAAGAAACCCCTGATCTTACAGCCCTTCCAAAGGATGAGAAAGGTACTATCATTTGCGGTCAAGGCCCACGGGCGAGATGAATGGTGGCTGAATTGAAGTTCACTGCAGCACAGGATCCTTCGCGGTCGACCCAGCAAACCCCAGAGTGAGCTCTTACCATGCAGGTGGCTGGCTTTATTGTGCTGACCTTGCTATTGGCAGCCTTCACGAGCGCGTCAAGTGAGTTCCACAGCTTTCTTCATGATCTGGCAGATCCCTGCTCCGGTACCTTGCTGGAGTCGGAGTCTGCTTTCCCAGCGAAATAATCAACATGCTAACCAGAATGGAAAGGAAAATTGAACACTTTATCAATAGCATTACACAGGATGGCTTCGCCGACGTATTGACCGAAAACAGGACATTACTGAGAGAAACCACAGCTCTCAAAGAGAGGATCCAGGAATTAGAGGAAACAGTGGAGAACATGAAAGCCCGTTTAGATGGGCTGTGCAAGAGTAGGCAGGTTTCTACCTTTCAGGAAAACCGAGCGCGCAAGAAACGGGCAATGCTCAATGGCGCTCATTACTCGGAGAAATGAAACGGTAGAAAGACGCTGCTCTAGACAAGTCCCACGTTCAATTTATGGTTAGCGACAGCTCTTTGAATATATTATCTGTTCAGGTTTCCCCCAGCCTAATGGCAACCTTGTTACCAGCCAAGGTAAGAAAACTGCCGCCGCTGGCGGTAAAGCTAGCTGCTAAAGAGTGCACAATTATTCCTCAAAGCACTTTCCCTAACAGTCATTTACTTCGGGAAGGACGGGAAGTACATGGACAGCGGGGCTCTGCCAATGTGAACCATGGAGCTGCTGGTGCCCTGTGCGCGGCGGATACTAGAAGTAATATCATTGTTGTACATGGACTAGCGATATATCCCGTCGTAACGCTACGCCATGGGTTAGCAACTATGTCTAGGTTCAGATATGCCGTACTTGGGACAGCATGGGAATCACGCTACGTTTTCTTCCACGACCAGCGTAGTGCACCGTAGATTTGTCTCAAACTGGCCCTCCCGTGAAAAGCCAGGACCTCATTGTCAATATTATTAGACAAATACATTGAAGCGTGCCAGGTGGATAGGGTTATGTCATTGAGTTGTATGCAGAAGGATTAAGTGTTGAGGATCACAAGATCGCAACTTTCCGTGACCCCTTCGTAGCAGCTACCATACGACGTACAAATTTCCGGAGGTATGAAACACGTCGCGAGGAATTGGATCTCAGAGTATGTGGCAGTCGGATCGTAGAACCTATCGAACCATTAGCTCTCCTGGCCCATCGCCAAAGCTGCCATTATATCTTACCTGGTAGTCTCTCGTTTGCACTGGCCGAGTCATCTGTCAAGCGGCGGCGTTCTGAAATGGCCAGCTGCTCCAGAGCATGGATCAAATCGCGAGTTTTTCTGCGGGAGCCTCTAGGTGCGAAGATTGGAAGAGACGGCAAGCAAGATCCCCGAGCTTCTATGTGTCGGACTCGTGGCGGAAGTGCCCCCGAGCTTGAGGTCTCAGACACACTTTCCTGCATGGATTGAAGGTTCCGTAAGAGGTAGTTCTGTTTGCATCTCAATGCCTCGCCCGTCCGTTCCACGCCGAACTGCCTGAAGTATGCCCTGGATCTTTCCTTCCAAGACATCCCTCGGTGCTGATGCAGCCAGAAAATCAGGTTGCTTTTTTCCCATGAAGACCAGGCGATTTTGTCGGGTTTAGGAAACTTAGTTCTAGACATCTTGGTGACGACCACTGAACAAGGACGGCAGTGAAAGAAGAGTTATTGCAAAGATCAGATGCAATAAGAATTGTGAAAGGAATTCGGTCGAATTTCGGCGGTTACAGGTTTATCAAGGATGGGAAAGCTCCACAGCGGCCTTGTTGAATTACGGTCTCAACGGTGGTTGTGGGCTTATCGTACAATACCCTATTGGTCTCCCTTAGATGCATCCTCGGGGTCGGTCTTTGGCTTCTGATGCCGAGGGAGAACGGTGACTGCGAAAGCGAATAGAGTTGTAGAATGTTGCCGCCCAGCAATTTCGTAGGCTGTTCAAATTGGCGGAGGTAGCCTGCAGTTTTGTGAGGTCAACGTGGTGGTCTTTCACTATACTTCACCGGTTGAGAAAACGGTCGATGTCCGTGGTCAATTGTCGCCTTGGGAATAATTATCAGGTCCAGTCATATTTCGGTTGTAATTTCGGTCATGGGCACAGGCCTCTTCCAAATAGGCTATGGCTTTTCACGATGATCTGCGTGTAAAGTGAAGTCTTCCAGGATAAAATAATAAATATACGAAATGAATATTAGTTTTAATATGAACGAGAAAGTTTAAAGGAACAATAGTATATGAATAAAATCTAGTAGGATAAAAGGAAGATAAAAGAGAACAATAAAATATAAAATATAACGATAAATTTGCATCTGGTGGGGCGTGAGACTTGGGGAAAGCATAGGCCATATTCAACGGCCATGACACCTGATGAGAATCCCTTCCCTTTTTTTTTTTTTTTTTTTTTTTTTCCCTCTTTGAGGTATACTCGGAGATTTGACAAAAAGAGGGCCCCCTGCGGAAATGGATTAATTCATTATTCTAATAATATCGGAGATACTGCGCTCAGGTACTTATTGCTATACTTGCTGGGGTACTGGTCACCTTTCACTTTGGATCTATAAAGGAGCAAACCCTTTTATTCTTACTATCCCCCGTTTCTCGCCTCACAGTTTTTCCCCAAACCCTCTGCCTGACCTACTTCAATACCGTAGAAATGGGTATTCAGAGAACTAAGGCTCATGGCGGTTCGCAGCGATATATAGACCGAATGACTCGATTGCTTTCATCAGGCTCACCGGAGCCAAAAAATACTGGGAGTCCCCCCACTTCAATCGTCGGCTCTGAGGACGACGATTGGTATTCTCAGACCGATGGATCTGACGATGATGGCAAGGCTACCTTCCTGGATGAATGCAGTGATGGAGAGGAGACTCAGGGACAAAGGGCAAAGGAACGGGTCAAAGAGCGGCCCTTGGGAGGAGTCAGATCTGTGAAGTCCCTGAACCCTGAGTATCTCACAGAGTCGATGGAAAGAATGATAGAATGTATGACAGAGTGAGTCTGAAGCTACCCTTACTGTGAGATATCGCATTCTAACGGCTCGAATTAGATTGGATGTACGGGTGCAGTAAGGTTCGCTTGGAGATAAAACCAGAATCCCCACGCTGACCCGCTTCAGATCTAACGCAGACTCGCTCACGGGCCAGGTTCTATGGAATCAGAAAATGCAGCGAAAGTTTGGTGCCATGGACACGTTGAGAAAAGAAGTGGCTGCATTGAGGAAGCAAGTGGAGGTTTTATCGAGCAGGGATGCAGTCATAGACCGAGAGACCGTGGGTTCGAAGCGTCAAAAGCAGTGAGAGAATGTCAGTCAACATCGTACATAAAGTCCCGAAACGAAATAGTAAGGATTTTGTCTCCATGTGAGGAAATTCTTTGGCCTTCTCCTGGCGTTATACAGAAGGTCACATGCCGCCCTCAGCCAAGTTCCGCGCTAGAAACCCATTCGTGACGTACTATTATATCGATTTATTATCGTGAGGGCGAATTCGGTCCTGCATTCATTGCGAACAATTACGGGCAGATGAATCAAAACCACAATGCTGATTTTAGACATTCCCGGATCAGTCTAGACGGTAGGAAAGCTCTACGATTTGTCCGGGGAAAGCTCTGTCGTGCCCGGATCGAACTAATATGAGCCATTTTCTTTAGCGTATCCACCGTTCCCTGCAGTTCCATGCACGAGGGGTAATTTTATCATTTTCATCAATCAGCCAATCATGTCCAGTCAATTATGTCCGCGAGCCTCAATGTCGCGGCGGTATACGGCGAATCAGAGCGCGTCTGTCATCAAACTTTTAACGCGGGGACCATTGTCACTTACTCCCCTTTTCGTACCGCAACGCTCCGACGAATCTCGCCTGTTGTTTGCATAGGATTTATCCGCGTCGCCGTCAGTCCCATCTCGCTTGCGCTGTGATGAGTATATGGCCGTTACGGGGTTTTAGAGCTATCTCAGCCCCGAGGCGGACCCCTGATCAATATGCACCCGAGCCCAAAAGGGACTAGCTCTTCTCTTGGGAAAAGCTTGATTCGCACGGGATCTACAACCTACACAAGGAAAATCATACAGGTACCCATGTCCGCACTACTTTTAGTATAGAATTAATTATCACTTGAGCCACGCCTGCCGAGGTTTCTCCGCTAGGCCAGGCTTGAATTCCAAATACTTTGGCGCAATCAACAAAATAACACCCCTTTTACAGCTAAGGCTGAAAGCTGATGGATGAAGTCAGTGTGTCTGTGGTAGATCCAGAAGATCATGTCGCATGGACTGACTGTGCGCAAATGCATGCCATGAGACCTGAAAGGTCGCGTTCCGTGCCGACTAGGGCCGTCCACGGCCCGCATCGCTTCCATTTTTCCCCTTTTTGGCGCAATGTGGCACTAGTCCAAATGTGGTCAGAAAGAAGTGACTCTAAAAGAGAAGTCACCAGGCTTATTTACGGAGACGTGCACGCGTACCTATAAGCCTCAACCCAAACCCAATTTCGCAGCCGTCCTTTCATCCCTTAGTGCCATCCTAATCTCACCCCTTATGTTGAGGACGATCCATGGGTAGCGTCCAAGGAATTGAGGGCTACTTGGCCTGACGAAAACAGCGTGGTTCAATTCAGTCTGAAGTGCTGTCGCATGTCAATTACCCCGGTTTTTGATCCCGGATTGCGGCGAACATCTTCTGTGCACTCTTTGCACTTGGAAAAGATGCGTCTAGACTGCGTTACGGCTTGCCCGGGAAAGTACTATGTGCTCCACCATACGGCAGATCGAGCCCCGGTTTCACCCTTTCCCCTGAATTTAGGGGCCAAGATTGCATCATTTGTTCTACGTCAGGCAGTCAGTCACGTACTAAGAGGAATTCCTTCTTGAACCCGCTCGTCCGCAATCAACTAAACAACTCTAAATCACCATATACACGTATTCAACATAACGGGCTGCTATAGCTCCACACAGTAGCATCCCTCAACCGAAATGAATCCACACAAGCTCCCCAAGATCCCACATTTTGCGTGACTCTCTCACCATCGGCTGCAAAAGGACGATTTGCGGATCCTTTAGGTGGATACGAGGATTTCTGAGATCTGACGCTGATTTCGGATTTAGCCTGGACCGGCCGGCACGCGCGACCGGTGCGATGCAAAGCTCCTGCCCAATCATCGACTCTGATCGGCCCATATATTTGCAAGCGCAATGACAGACTTGGAGTCAGTTTGGACCAAGTTGTTTGAGACTGCTTAATAGATTCCAAGTTGGCAAGGTAGCGGTAGATCAGTGAGATCGGGGCACACGGACTGTGCGCCATACCTTGTGTTCCGTGACTCAGACACTAGACCCAGCCTAGCTTAAGTCGAAAGACCAGCCATCGGCATTACGATTGCACTACCTGATAGAAACGCGTCAAAACAGTCGTATAGCCGCCATTCGACAGACTTTCCCGTAATTGAAACAAGGCGCTAGCCCAACAGAGTACCAAAGACAAGGGTATTATAGAGAAGTGCTATTTTGGGTTTAAGCCTACAGCCGGGCTAGTGCAATCTCGGATAATGGGCAGGCATATCTACGGTTTCAATTGCGTCACCCGAAACTATCATTCTCGCTTAGACATTCCTAAATCGAATCACCTTGATCTGCGGTGAAGGCCCGTTGACGGCATGGTATCAAATGGAGTAGAATTTTACAAACTCGATCTACGTGATCCGCGATCTAAGGAAATGATATGACCGTATAATCATAGTGGCGGGAAATACCCATGTAATTTTTTCCCTTGTCGTTCCGCTAGACTCGGGATATTCTAGGCAGTTATTTTCATCCGTCTACGACTTTTTCGGACTGATGCATCGAACATTGGATGTTTTATGTCTAGTTGATGTACTACGTAGGCGCACTGCGCGGATGATGTTATTGCTAATCCATGTTCCAACTGGCTACGTGAAGAACTCCGGGACTCCGTCATGATAGCAGACGCTTTCTCTTCACAATTGTGCTATGTATTGGCTAGCTTGCTGGAGAGGTTGCTGGCTGAACTGGACCGGTACTTGCTGGAGAGGTTGCTGGCTGTATTGGATCGGCGCTTGCTGATTGGTCGACGAAAGGGTATTGGGTAGTGGATAGTTTGGGAGCGAGTTGGTACCAAACGAGCCCATCTGCCCGTTATTGACTGGCCACGAGCCTTGTAGCACATCAGATGTAGGTAAGCCAGCAAATGCAGACTTGTTTTTCTCTGCATTCTTCTCTGCCTCTATCTTCTTCTCGAGCTGGTTCTGCGCATATTGAAAATAGCTGCTGACCTCCAATAGTATGGGCAGCACATTATCACCGGTCGTGCAACAAGCCTGTGCAAACTGAAGTTGTTGTTTCAGACTAGATACTTGAAACTCAAGCTCTTGAATCTTGGCCAGATTCCGGTCATCTTTGTCACTCAGATGGCGAACTTTTGTCGTGGCTTGGGCATTGTCTTCCTCTAGTTGCTGTATGGATTGTGTGAGCTCCTCCCGCTCTTTATCAGCGTCCTTGAAAACCTGCAAGCATCGTCGATGAACAATCCTCCAGTGCTTTCGTTTCGGGGTCTTTGCTATTGGCGAGGTGACCTGGATTCCACATTGGGCTGAGTATACTTGCATTCACGGGACAGTGATGTCAGGACATACCAATGGTGTATAAATGTGTGCGCCTTGGGTATCTGACGAAGCATCATCATCACCGGCGATAGGAGGGCGGATAGTATGCTTGGGAGCGGCATGTGACTCAGAACGGCCTTGACCAGTACTGTTGAGGGCTTGGCCTGCCGTCCTTCGGGAAGGCATATCGTGCGTCAACACTGTGAAACGGATTTTTTGGCAACAAGTATTGACTCTTCAAGTTTGACCGCTCGGGGAGGCCATCTGAGCTTTTATAGGTCTCCAGTGTACGAGCCAGTAGGCAAAACAGGTCGGAACGAGGTAGCACGCAGCCGGACAATGTGGGCCGCAGGATTGTAAGGTTGACTGTTCGAATGCCCGATCATTGGTCCATGTTGACAACCGGCCGTAATAACGGTTATCTTGTAGTTTCACGATATGGTTACATTTGAGGGGCGAAGATCGACCGTTCACTTCTTCCTTTCATGCTCTCTGGGGACCGCTAACCATCAATTGACCGGTAGATGTCTCAACCATGAACACTTTTCGTTGCGTATGACTTTTCTGCGGTCAGGCGTTGAACATTTCGGGACGAAGTGCACATCCTCAATAAACATAATCCTCAAAACCTGACCATGGGCTCATTTAAACGGCCCAAGCTTTGCCAGGGCTTACAATTCCACCAGGTACCTGAGTCGCACTTTACGCGTATGTTATTATCTACCTTGCCTTTGGGTTGCATCTATAGTCTCCTATCCCATGTCTCATTGGCGTACCATTTCGTATCGGGATTAATTTGGACAGCGGGAAACTAAAGCTCATTTAGACATAAACGGAATGGCAATCAGTCTTACAAGTGAATTTCAGGAACCAATTGGCTTAGCATGTTCCAGAGACGGCATACTTTGGCAAGTATTGCTCGCCGCTAATTACTCAAAAGGCTCTATTAGGCAGCGCATATCGCGCCGAGCAGGAACAGATTAGTAATGAGATGTTCATTAAGTCTCAAATTACTCACTCTGTACAGGTACGTCAAGCAGTCCACCAATGACCTGATCTAGAATATGATACATGCCGTAAAAATATGTGGCAACAGTAGTAAATCACGCACAGATCCACGTTCGTAAAAAACGGATTTTGGGCGATCTGTGGAAATTAGGTCTTGGGTCGCCGGAAGTCTGATCGCGGGCCACATAGGCTGCCCCACCCAATCAATCGATCGCGACTCAATAGTGCCACCACTTAACCAGATAGCAAGAATGTATTGTAAGGTATCACGGATTATCCCTGTCGCGTAATTTCGGTTACGACGTGATTAGAATTCATATACCGGAGTATGCGACTTGGCTCAGTCTCGACTGTGAGGCACACGTTAAGTCTGTCAGATGTGGCACTGGCCCAGTTGACCGTCCGTAACGGGCTTAGTTTTACTATTCTTTCCCTTCAAAGATGCGGTTCACTTCATTCCCGAGCAGACAATATCTACTCGCGGTCAGCCGAGGAAGGGATATCAGTTTGGCTTGCATAAGGGTTTCCTAATGAAAATGTGGTATTGGACTGACAATGTACAATAGCAGACCAATGTTCTTCACTATTTTAATGGCCGAGACACGGTCTGGTGCAATGCAAAAGGTATTGGGTGAGGTCATTGTTGCTTTAGACAATGAAGTCCTCGGGCTCTC